TTTATAGTGAAAAACTTTGTTTTTACGGGTTATACTTATTAAATCCTTTATATTAAGTTCGCTTGCTTGCTGTGCTTGCTTGCGTGCTTGCTTGCTTGCTTGCGTGCGTGCATGCTTGCTTGCTTGCGTACTTGCTTGCGTGCTTGCTTGCTTGCTTGCTTAGGACCGTGCAAATCTTTCGCTCGTTTTTTAACCCACTTCCCGTGATCCAATCGAGCTGACATTTTGCACACAGACTCGTTGTGCGAGACAATTAATGTTCGTGAAAAAATGTTTCCTAAATTTTACACTGTTTAGGGAAAACAAATTAAATATTTAATTACCAATTGCTTAATACTGGCAGACAATCATCTGACCCATAGGTGGCAGCCATCTCAAGCCAGAGGACGAGAGGACTCTGGCCGCCACGCATATAAAGGATTTACAGTGAAAAACTTTGTTTTTACGGGTTATAATTATTGAGCGTGCACATATCAATGAAATCAATTCCCAACACTAATACGTCGTACGGAAATAGCCAACACAATTTTCAATGCCTCAATTATGTCTTTCCATGTGATACGAACTGAAATACCAGCAGGCAACCCCACCCACTTGAGGAGCGAATACGTATTCTGATATCAACATCACGCGCGCATTACATGTGGAAATAACGCACGCCTCCCTTCGGCATTTGCTCGTGTCCTTTAATCCGCATGAGTTTGTTCGAAGAGTCCTCAAACAGGCGCGCAAAACCATTGCGAAAGACTGCGGCAAGCCAAAAGATGAGTCAGAATCAAGTTCGAAATACATCGGTGACGCAGTAAACATTACAATGTGTGATTGGCGCTTGTGTAACCTTTATGACTGATTTCACATCCACCCTTTGGCCCTGCGTGGGTGTTTAAAATTGTAGCGAATCAACGGCAGGATACGTGGGCCACGGAATCTGTTACTGTGCGAACTTGCTCTGTGCTCTGCCAGTGCAGAGTCTGGCCTCCCTCCGAGGATGTGATGGGCCTTCCACATGATAATCGACGTCGTTGAGCTATCAGTTTTGACCAGTTGTCTTCTGAAAGAGAAGCTAATAGCTTAGTTGCCTTTACCTGGTAAAATATATAAAAAAAAGATTTTGTTTGTGATTTTTTTACATTTCCTACAATTTGCACTCCCATCGTTTTTGTAGTGTTTGTTGTAACTGTCTGACCCGCCCCAACTGGACATCTGTGAAAAAGAGCTTTATAGCTCATCGGATTCCTCCAGTATAAATACAGATTCTGATGAAAGGTTGTTGCCGGGTTCCGAGGTACAAGTCAGACTTTCTGTGTTTTGCCCAACACGTGGAAAACGGCTTTTCTCTGGATGAATGTTGTATGTGCGTGCGTCTTCCTGCCATTGTTCTCCTAGAATAATGGGCTGATTGATTTGACCACACTGCGACCGACTTGGGACAATGAAACTGATAAAACCTCATATTTTCTTTTCCAGCCTGATTTATCATCTAATAAAACATGTTTCCACCACACGCATCTTGTAACTTCATGCGCGCTTCGTTATCTCTCAGAAGCGTGGTCAACTGCTCATGCAGTAATACATTCTTAAATGTTTATCATGTGAAGTGGTGCACTGATTTGTGTAAAGGGGAATTTGTAGCTGGGCTGAGATTATTAACTCACTACTTAAGAACTTGATTTAATCACGAGTGGCTGAAACCGGGATTCGAACCCAGGTCCTCAGCGGTGCCGGTTAAGTGTCTTCGGCAGCCAACGTCGTCTGGTGACGTTCATCACGTACCACCATTCAATCACACATCAGAGAAGTTAAACACAGATGCATTTCAAGGATCGTTCACATGACAGCGCATACACAAACACGCGTATCTTGCGAACAAACACACATTGTGGAAGTCAAAGAACGTAAATAACAAAACGTCTCATATATCGAATTACAAACATTATGCAACACGCACGCGCGCACACAAGCGCCACATTCACTCTGGCGGTGCCCTATGACCAGATCGCCCTCTAGAATGTGCCTGATTTCGGAAGATAAACCAGTTTTAGCCTGGGTAGTGCTTGGATGGGTGACGCCAACATCGATAAAAACAGGTTGTTATAGCCTGCTGTGGAGGCATGTTGTTGATATAGGGCACATCAGGAACATTTAATTTTCTATGCTGCCCGCCTTCCCCACACCCCACACTGACCTGTATGATCGGCAAATGACCCCCATGACCCGCACGGTGTCGGGAGGCTCTCATCCACTCGTGGATTGACAAAATGACTCTGCATGTACTCAAGGTGGTTATGTGAGATTCTTGAGTTCGAACCCTAACCCTACCCGCGTTGAGATGAGCTTCAGTGTAGAGAATTTGATTTGGACATATGAATCGCATAATCCAGGTGTGTTGCCATTCTGAGCCCTGCCTTTAATACAAAGCGTTAGAGGCAAGGGTCGGTGGATCACGCAGACACTTGCGAAACTCCCACAACCGCTGGGTTGCAAGGCGGCCAGGGAAACTCGAGCGCGATGAGTGAGTTTTTGAACCCATTTGTGCGGACCTCACTCGTATACGTGGTGGAGCGTATCTGTGTCCTCTGGTTTCCAGCTACAACGAGTTGGTTGAACTGAAGAAAATAATTGAAGGCAGGATACGATGGAAAGACAACACAGGAGTGCTGATTATTGGATTGAAACTATTGAAAGCAGACTGGGATCAAAATGCTGAAATGTAGATTTGAGAGCAGGTTGAATTTGGAAAAATGAATTTGATCATGGAAAGCAATGTAACAATGTACTTGTAAAGCATTTATTTTCAATCATTGCATGTAGCCTGCTATGTCACATTGAAACGTGGACGCCGACAAATGATAAACAGTCATCGAGTGTACAAAAAAGCATGGAGAGATACATACTGATACTAACAATGAGAGATATAAAGAGGAACACACGGATCGGGGAACAACCGCAAGTTGTGGACATCGTATTTTAAGTTAAGGAAAGTAAGTGACCTTGGAGAGGACACGTAACTTGAAGGGTCATTGGCCGATGGATGAGACTGGTGACAGAATGTCAACTAGCTCGAAAAAAATAACACTCACCACAGCGATGAAATAAGCTCACGCGTAGGCGTGCCATGAATTTTGGCTTTGCAGAACAGTCCAGGGGAGCTGGTCATCGAGCAGTGGACCGATCATGGCTGTTGAAGAAGATGTTGACGATGACTCAAGTTTCCTCCCACACGAAAGCAAAACATTCCTTCAAATGGAATTTACCATCACCCCAATGTGGGGCATCTCAAAAATAGTCTTGAGACTTCGAGAGGCTTTCCCGGATAAGCATGATTTTTTTTATTAATTTGATTGATTTTCACAGCTGCCTTGGGAAATGTATTTTAGTCGAGGTAAAGACTTGGAGTATAAATTATATCTCGCCTGGATGCAAACAAAATAATTTGCAATGAAATACGCATGTATATGATGTGATACAAACGTTTTTACTTATCCTATCATCATACATCAGAGGTCGACACAATTGACACCATTTTGATGCTCAGCCAAATAATTGTCATTCTATGGGAAGACAGACTCCCCATCCTATAAATTACGTGGAATTTCTACCGCTGTTTCATTTGATCTTGATCGCAATTCTGACTAAAGCGGGGAGAGGCAATTCGGTGTGACTTTTATAACCACACGAATACTGTACTGTACAGAGACTCCTCTACTTACAAACACTCAACTTATGAACTTTCAGAAATATGAACAACCCTGTCCATACTATGGGAACCTCATTTGCCAGTAAAAATATGATAATTGTTTTTTACCCTTCTATCTGGCAACAAAACTGACACCTTTTTACAAGGAGTCATGTTTGCATAGACCGCAATACCTGCAGTCATAATGCAAACAAAAGACATACCTCTGATAATGTGCACTGACCTTGAAGTTGATTGGTCCACACCCGAGACAGCCTTCCTTAGAGCCTAGTCTCACATGGGTTGGACCAGATGACGCCAAAAGGCGCACTTTTGTTGCCAGATAGAAGGGTAAAAAACCAATTATCAACCCTGTCCATATGTCCAGTTGCCCACCGCGCAATAGATGGCAGTGGTGGCATCTACATCTGCAGAACATGAAGAACCAGTGCCATCTACATCTACAGGGGATTTTATAACTTTTAAAGCCATCCCCTGTGTTTAGTGTACATGCCTTACAACATGTTTGCAATCGACGGGTGTAAGTTGGACTTACTTGCAAATCGACTTACGAACAGACCTCTAGAACCTAGCTCGTTCGTAAGTAGAGGAGTAACCATACAATATTTACAAATATCAAGTGACCTCGATGGGCGGGGCCTCGCGATGGTGGGCGGGGCTACGGTGACTGTGGGCGGTGCCAGATAAAATGTAGGCGGAGCCGCAATATCCAATGGGGGAGGGGGAGACGCGAAGTGGGCGTGGCTGTTAACAAAAGGGGCGGGTCAATTGTAAAAGTAGGCGGGGCTTCTGTGGAGCGAGATGCAATGATTGCCTGGGCGGCCCTTTGATTGGTTGCTTTCTCCTACATGAACATGCTGCTTGGTCAGGGGGAAGGAGGCGTGGTCAGGGGAGGAGAAGGAGGCGTGGTCAGGGAGAAGGAGGCGTGGTCAGGGGGAAGGAGGCGTGGTCAGTGGGATGGAGGCGTGGTCAGGGAGAAGGCGTGGTCAGGGAGAAGGAGGCGTGGTCAGTGGGAAGGAGGCGTGGTCAGGGCGATGGAGGCGTGGTCAGGGGGGGGGAAGGAGTCGTGGTCAGGGGGGGGAAGGAGGCGTGGTCAGTGGGAAGGGGGCGTGGTCAGGGCGATGGAGGCGTGGTCAGGGCGATGGAGGCGTGGTCAGGGGGATGGAGGCGTGGTCAGGGGGGAGAAGGAGGCGTGGTCAGGGGGGGGAAGGAGGCGTGGCGAGAAAAGGAGGACGTGGTCATGGAAAGGAGGCGTGGTGAGGGGGCTGGAGGCGGAATCAAACTTCACTCCTCCCGCCCCAATCCCAGTCCGTCTGTCTCATCGCCGCCGCCTCCTCCTCCTCACCACGACGGCTCCTCCGCGCTTTGCTGTCTGGCTCGCTTTGCCGTCACTCCCGGCGCGGCCGCACGAGAATATTCATTTTTAGTTTGGGGTTTTGCTTTGGCTTGTTGGCTGTCGTTGCGGCGTTAGTTTTGTTTGGAGCGAGTTTTGTTGCTGTTGTTGTTGGAAATCTTGAACCGGGTCTCAACGTAGAGAGATTAGGGTGGTGGTGGGGGGGGAGAGTTTGAGGAGGTGGTGGTGGTGAAGGAGGCAAAGTCGACGATGGACGAGGCGGAGAAGAACGGCGCTTTGCCCGCCGAGGTGAGGGCCCAGTTGGCGGAGCTGAATCGAGAGTTTGCCGAAGGTAAATCAACAAACAATGACGAAGAATGCACCGACGCAGCTCGTGTACGCGTGTAGCACTTTTTGTGTGTGTGTGTACACCTCTACTGCTTTGTGTGTGTGTGTACACCTCTACTGCTGTGTGTGTGTGTGTGTACACCTCCACTGGCTGTGTGTGTGTACACCTCCACTGGCTGTGTGTGTGTGTGTACACCTCCACTGGCTGTGTGTGTGTGTACACCTCCACTGGCTGTGTGTGTGTGTACACCTCCACTGGCTGTGTGTGTGTGTACACCTCCACTGCTGCTGTGTGTGTGTACACCTCCACTGGCTGTGTGTGTGTGTGTACACCTCCACTGGCTGTGTGTGTGTGTGTACACCTCCACTGCTGCTGTGTGTGTGTGTACACCTCCACTGGCTGTGTGTGTGTGTGTACACCTCCACTGGCTGTGTGTGTGTGTACACCTCCACTGGCTGTGTGTGTGTACACCTCCACTGGCTGTGTGTGTGTGTACACCTCCACTGGCTGTGTGTGTGTACACCTCCACTGGCTGTGTGTGTGTGTGTACACCTCCACTGCTGTGTGTGTGTGTGTACACCTCCACTGCTGTGTGTGTGTGTGTACACCTCCACTGGCTGTGTGTGTGTGTGTACACCTCCACTGCTTTGTGTGTGTGTGTGTACACCTCCACTGCTGCTGTGTGTGTGTGTACACCTCCACTGGCTGTGTGTGTGTACACCTCCACTGCTGCTGTGTGTGTGTGTACACCTCCACTGCTGCTGTGTGTGTGTACACCTCCACTGCTGTGTGTGTGTGTGTGTACACCTCCACTGCTGCTGTGTGTGTGTGTGTGTACACCTCCACTGCTGCTGTGTGTGTGTGTACACCTCCACTGCTGCTGTGTGTGTGTACACCTCCACTGCTGTGTGTGTGTGTGTACACCTCTACTGCTTTGTGTGTGTGTGTGTACACCTCTACTGCTGTGTGTGTGTGTGTACACCTCCACTGCTGCTGTGTGTGTGTGTGTACACCTCCACTGGCTGTGTGTGTGTACACCTCCACTGCTGCTGTGTGTGTGTGTGTACACCTCCACTGCTGCTGTGTGTGTGTGTGTACACCTCCACTGGCTGTGTGTGTGTGTGTACACGTCCACTGGCTGTGTGTGTGTGTGTACACCTCCACTGCTGCTGTGTGTGTGTACACCTCCACTGCTGCTGTGTGTGTGTATGTGTTGAGCCCTACTTGCACAGCACGCTGGCGTGAAGGAGGGCTTGGTGAATGTGACGAGTGGTTGGTGCTTAGCGGATGATGTTGCCAGAGAGAGGCACGGTGGGTTGTGATTAATGCGATTATCACTCGCCGCCGCTGATGATGATGTTGTTGTTGTTGGGCCCCTGGCCCGCTAATCGGAACTTGCGGTGCGCTAACCGACTGCGCCACCGCTCCTCGGCGCACTCGTTTAGGTGGTTGCGTTAAGCCAGTGGTGGAAATTCCACGTTCCTATGCTCGGGACCAGTTTAGCCATGACAATAACTCACTTGGCTACCCACAAAGTGGTATCAATCTTATCAACTCACCCCAGACCGGGGCTTTTAAATGGCAATCGTCACATTGCGATTCAAAAACCTCGCCAACATTAATCGATAATTGAGAACGCAATGTTACAGAGTAGGGGAGCGGTGGCGCAGTGGTTGACGTACAGCACTATGAAGGATCGAACTGCAGATGGATTCCCCGGTCACGGCTAACATCAGTGGCGAGTGATAATCTGAAGCGGTCCTTGGGACCACACTTTTAAACAGCGTGGTTCATGTATAGGTCTAACAACTACAGTGATTGATAGCGTGGGGGGGGGGGGGCTTCATCCAGCAGTATATTGAGAAAGGGCTGCACAGAATCATTGTTATTAATGTATTTTTGTCATATAGGGAGATTACGCGTCACAGTACCCACCCCCGCAGGAGATGGAGCGGTGAAATGGTTTTGTAGCAACACTGGCGACGGCGTGATGATGACTTCAAGCTAGCAGTGGATAGACCATTGCTGGTGATAAATGGTAGAAATCTTGAGAACGTCCGAGTTTGCGTTCGAGTTAAGGCTGTCGGTGGAATTGTGAGAATGGCCCCACCGATTGTTGGTGCAAAGTTGAATGCGGTTGGGTTCCCTGGCTTGGCTTTGTGTCGTGGGCATTTAAATATCAAAGAGCCATTGTGTTTCGCTTTCTTTTTCATGTATTCTTCTCTTTATGCCTGGGCCTTCATTCCAATGCTGCTGCTACTGCTGCTTCTACTGCCGCTGCTAGCTGCTTGTGAGCTCTGCAATGCGAAGTGTGTTCTTGTGAAAGGGCCATGTGTGTGTATGTTTGTCACTTTTTTTTAACCGGTCCGAAGCCTTCCATAGGTCGACTCAGCCTTAAATGACTAGCTGGTACGATGTGTAAACATTGTCACGAGGGAGACAAAGGCGTGGTGCTGGCCACCAACTCACCCTCATCGTGTGTCATGCTCGCTAACAGCACTTGCCCCAACATCTGTTAAAGGCCGCATTGGGGATCTTTGCTTCGTCACACTGATCAGTGTTGGTTGGTGAAGATGGGGGGCATAGTACAGTAAAACAATTGATTTGTAGCAATGCGTTCACCCGACACCACAGCAGCCCATGACACTTGTTTGTCAATGGTGGTCACCCATCAAAGCACTATCCTCAAGTTTGGTTAGCTTATGAGGTCTTGGCTCATCCTAGGTGATTTAGTCATAGACATTAGTTTGTATACATTTGTGGCTGCGTATGTGTTTATGTCTGTGTCCAGTTGATTCTTTGTTGTAGCTTAAGTACTGCTCATTGACACATTTGTCTCATGCAGTGGTGGTGTCACATTAGCGTGGTCTCAGAAAGCGGGCATTAACGCATCAATGCTCCCACGAAGTGGGCGTTGATGAGTCACCTCGTGCTCAGAAAAAGAGGTGCCGGATGCGTTATCTGACAGGGTGGATGACAGGAGGAGGGTGGCATTATGCAAATGGTGAGCTCGAGGTCATTTTGTGGCATCAGATCCAACGTGTGATCAGCAAGGGTAGTTCAGCATGTGATTTGGTGGAGTGGAGGTGACTGTGATGGTGACAGTGGTAAAGGCATGCATTCGTTTTTTTTAATGATGCTCCACAAGCCAAAACACTCGTTGAGCTGCTAGATATTTTGGCAGGTTGGAGGTGACAATGAGTTTGACGATTCTGTTAAAATTAAAGTGAGGGCCCTGTTGTCAAATTTAGTTGTTATGTTGATTCATCCTTTGAAAGAATGGATCATCTTGGTGTTAGGCTTGATGAGTGAATGAGAAAGTGGCACCTTGGAGGGAGATGTTGCACCGAGATGGCACTGCCCTCTTTAATCGTATCGCTGGCAGCGTTTCAGATATACATTTAGAAATATGCGTTGAGATTTTGATTTTAAGCTTTCGTGACTGCAGGAATCCATACTCTTTGGTTCTTTCGGTAAAGTCACGTAGGTAGAAAAATAAAATATGACGACGTTTCGAATAGATCACGACGTTTCGATGACGATTGCTTGTGTTGCGATCGAAACGTCGTGATCTATTAATTTTCTACAAACTTAACTTCACCGAAAGAACCAAAGAGTATGCATTGAGATTATTTAGATAATTTTCGTGCTATAGATGTCCAAATGATGGGCCACTTTGTTGAACTATCATTTGTGGCCAGGTCACTTCTGAAAAATAAGTTAATATCTCAGTGGGCTTTGCTGGTAGGATGTGGATGGTTTAGTTTTATTAATGTGTTTGGGTGATTCGTTGACCTTGTACTTTGCACTACAATCACGTTTTTGTACTGTTTCTTGATGTAACGTTCTTACCCGCCTCGTGGACATCTGTGAAAAATAGCTTTATAGCTCATCGGATTCCTCCAGCATAAACAAATATCCTGATTCTGATTCTTTTGAATCTGTCAACTGGCTCACTCGCTAACCAGTGGGACAGCGGAAGGAGCGCTCCCTAACCTCGCCGTGAGCGTATTACTACTAACTTTGGTGATCAACCAGGAAGAAGACTTCGCTCGAGGATCATGAATTTTGCACTCATTATCTTGCTTGCTCTTGGTACGTCTTGTGTTAAGCAACAGGCACACAGACGTGCGTAACATGGCACAGCCGAAGTGCTTCGATCGCGGATTTGGATGCATTGAGCAGCGGCTGTCAGGTTTAAGCCCACAAGAAGATGCAGCAATACGCGTTACAATGGCTTGTTTTATTTTCGTGCCAGCTGCCACCTGCAAGACGCATACTTGGCAGTGGGGAAGGATATTTTATAGAAGTCCACATTATTTCGTGAAACACAAAGGGTTAAGTTCTACTTGCAGGTATTTAAACTATGGGCAAGAAGCTTTTAAAAAAAATCCACACGGGTAAAGTTACAAATTCATTTTTCATTCCATTCCACAAATGCATTGCCTTGGGTTTTGCATTTCAATTTTATCGGCAGGATGCGAAGGGGCCATCCATTTAGTACTACGCATGGAGGCGGGAGGGGGGGTTAACCCAAATGCGTATACTTGCGTATGGGGGGTCTACTGACAATGTACGTACGCATAGGAAACGATGGTGGGGGGGGGGGGGGATTAAGCCTCGATAATAATTTGTCTACATTGGCCTTCAAATTAGTTAGATAGTCCGGCGGTGGACTATCTGTTTGCTTGAACACGTTAATATTATTAATCCTTGATCCTAGATTTGAAGCTGGTGAGACTTTCCCCTCATTTACTTGATACAGCTATCGTGCTGTGACGTTTCCTCCTGAAGACGGAAGCTTTTGTTGCCTCCGAAACGTCGTGATTTTTATTTTTATTTTATTTTAATTTAACTTTTATTAATTTTTATTTTTTTACCTACGTGACTTTACCGAAAAAAAACTAAGAATATAATAATCCTTGATCGTTTCTGAGTGGATTAAATGTCGGCCGTTTTATAAGATTCGGGTGGGGGGTGCGTCAAGCCTACGTACGCACGCA